TGCGCACAAAATCTCTCCCCTTATATAGTTGGGAATCACCTGGGTATATAAGTGGGGGTAGGTTTGCATCTATGCACTTAGGTCTACTGAACTGATCTAGTTGATGTATTAATGACCACCATTTTTCTGAAATAATAATTTTTCTTCTTTTATTTTATTTTTTTTTATACACCTGACAAAGTCTGAATAATGGATTGGCTGCTGTTAGCAATATCAAGAATATGAAGTGGGTGTTCTTAAAAAAAACAAAAAAAAAAAAAACATAATTGGAACAAATCTTGATTCTCAGAAGTTTTTGCTATAATTATATGTAGACAGTTGTCAGTACAGGCACTGTGTACATTATTTAAACTCATCCCTGGATTTATTTGGTGCTTAATGATCAGGTTTTTTTTTTTTTTGGTTTATTTTTTCACTCTTCAAAATGAAAAAGAAAAAGTTTTTTTTGGGTTTTTTTTTCCTTGATAATTGAAATTGAATGTCCTTACTTTTTATATTTTTAAATAATCTTCTCTCCAGATATTTTTTAATCAAATAAAAGTTAAATAGCTTTTTAAAAAAAATAATTATTTATATTTTTCATTTTAGGACACAAAGTAACAATAAACATGAAAATTATAATCTACAGGTTCTATTTCAATAAATACTGAATTTCTGTTTTATTTGCTTTGTAAATGTTTCACTATATAAACAATAATTTACTATTATAATTAATAAAACAGTGATAGATAAAATTCTTTTTCATTTAAAATTTTCTTTTTCCAAATATCAATGTATCAGACATGTTTAAGTAATTGGTTAGATATAATGAAAGAATTCTTTCTTTCTTTCTTTTTTTTTTTTTTTTTTTTTTTTTTTTTTTTTTTTTTTTTTTTTAGATTTTGCCCAAGATGAATAGCAGTAATAATAAAGAATTTTTGGTTTTTATTTGGCTTTTATTTTCTCATATCAATTTCATCTACTCTAAAAACTGTGCCTTCTGACAGTTGACTTTCTCCGACAATTAATAACTCTCTAGTTTGGATCTGTATTTTTAAACAAAGAAAAACAAATAATTTCTTCCTTCATGAAACATTACTTTTGATTAATCATTTTTGTTCATTCATAAACAGATTTATTAAAAATGTTTCCTAACTTAATCTCTGCCTCATTGCTTGGCTCTTCATTTGATTCGAGTTTTGGTCTGACACTTTTTTCTCTATATTTTATAGAAGCTATTTCATCCAAATGATCTGTCTCAGTTGAATTTGATGAACTTATAAATTTCTCTTAATTTTATTGACCTATTTTTTATATAATTGTATTTCCTGATCTAACCTTACATTGTTTCTTTATTGGTATTGTTTTCTGTGATAAAAATATCTTTATCAAATTAGATAGACGAATTTAGAGTGTTTTTCTTCGTAGGAGACACTCTAATTAAAAATTGAAAATACAAAGTATGAAAAATAAATGTCTCTTCTGTTCTTGTCTATATTCTATATTTTATCTCAACTTGCCTGCAACTATTTTTGCAAGACATTAAAAATAATTTTTATATAGATTATGAATTTTAGCCTTGTAAATTAAAAGCTTATTCTTGTTTTATTTAATGTAGCAAAGAACATTGAAGAAAAAAAAAACGGCACTTTACAAAAATAAACTTTGCTGTTTATAAACAAGTTAAGACTCAGGAACCAGAATTTTATCCTCATCATTATTATTTATTGTCTTTTTTTCATTGGGTTCTGTGCAAGTGTCTACTTCTCAATGTATTCAAATGTCTGGAAAAACAAAACTCTATTACTAGGATTACATAAGAATAAACAAATTGTGCTTCAATATTTAATCTTGTTAGATTGCCATAAATATCGGGGGTTCTTTTTTTATAAAACACTTTAATCCAGTATAATTAGCATATTGAATCTTTTGAATATTTAAATTTATTATTAAAAAAAAAAAAAGTTTTTATTTCATAAACTAAATAGGGTAAAAGATTAATTCTTATATAATATTTTTTGGAAAGAATTACAATTCCCTTATGTACAACTCGTCAACTTTTAGAATAAAGCAAATTTTATACTTTCCCAATTTAACACTGTACAAGGTAGGAGTTTTGTGTTTTGATTATTAATATTCATTTGTGTCAAACTATGAAATTTTTTAAGATTTTCTGACTTTTTCCATAAATATGATGACCATAAAACTTATTCCATTTACTCTTGTCATGTATTTTTCTTTGCCCACAAAATAATGTTAAATAATGATACAAAATTACATCATTGTCATACTTTTTCAGATAAGTGTATTGTATATATGTTATTATAATAACAAAAACTCCATTGATGTTTTTAATGGTTTTGAGTATTTCAGCAAACTGGACATTTGTTCATTTTGTTTGTTTGTTTGTTTTTTTGTTTTTTTTTGTTTTTTTTTTTCATGTTTAATCCAAAAATATTTTGTCCCAGTGAGTTTAATTTTTATTTGATACTTTTATTGAAGATGAGTGGAAGTGTTAACTTCCAATATTTGATGGCATAGAAACAGCATTTAGTAGCTGTTCACTTTTTAGTCTTTTAATGCAGCCACCACCAAAAAGATATTGGTTTATCTTGGGTTTGGCTCCATCTTGGGAATGTTTTCATAAATATTTACGTAACTTTTTCTCTCTATAACCTCCAATATTGCATCTACCATACATTGTGACTACGACGACAACTCATTTGTTATAAAACTTGAATTCCAGTCCTTGTTGATTCAAACATTAACTTGACAGTTTATTGCTATTTCCTAGAAAAATAAAAGCAGAGGAAATGAACAATTATTTTCCTCATTGGTTGTTGTTGTTTCTTAACATTGTATTTTAAAAAAAGAAAAACAGCATTTGAATATTACCTCAGTAAATGAGACTTCTTTTGTAACTTTTAAAAATATTCTTATATTTTACTGAGTGGTGGGGATGCTTATTAATTGTGAAAAACAGTAAAATATAAAAAGAATAAAAGTCCAATGTTACTTCTTCATTATTACATTTTCTGAATGCCGATATTTGAGTTGCCCCAGTAAAGAACTAGAAAAAAATAGTTACATATTCATAATTGGCATACTTACTGTTCTTGGGTTTGTCTATAACTTTAATCTAATTCTCATTTAGTCATAAAAAAAAAATCTCATAAATTTTCATGTTTATATTTTAATACAAAAACTGGTTTAATTCACTGACCCAAAATTGTTTGGTCCACTCTATCCTTATTTTATTTGTAAATCAATTTCTTTATCAGAAATGGAAATGAGTCTTTTGTGTCTAAAGTTCCACTGATTTTGTTTGAATTTAGTTTTTGTTTTGTTTTGTTTTATCTCTTTAGATATTTAATTAAAAAGATATAAAATAAGTACATTTCCATTTTTCTACTTTAAAAAGTAATTTTATTTTGATTTTTTTGTTTTTTAAATGTTTGGAATCTGTTCTTTGTTTTGGGAGATGATCTACCTGAATGAAGATGGCAGGAGAATTAACCAGTCAAAACATTGTATAAAACTAGAAAGAAAAAATGAAGATAGTCACCCAAGAAAAAAAATTCCAAATCTTACATAACTATAAAAATTCTTTTTTCTGTCTTTCCATTATTTCAGTTTTATTTTTGAAATATTATCTTACTATACAGACTATAGTTAAGGTTTTTGCATGCACATCTTATTAAACGAAACATTAAGGAAATGATCTAATTAAAGAGTTTTTTGGTGGCCTGCCTTCTGGCTGAATTATTTGTGTATTTGGGTGACAACGGTCAGTATTTAAAGTTCTCATGATTTTCTTTTTTTTTTTTTTTTTTTTTTAAGTGTGAAAAGAGGTGAAAAAAAAAAATTTTCAAGAAATATTTTTAAAATATATTTTATTAAGAATTCTCTATAAAAAAAAAAACATAAAATAATTGTAATAAAAGCAAATTGGACACATTCATGTATAATGATTTTTTGGGAAAATACCAAAAAAAAAAAAGAAAAAAAAAGACAATTAAATTTTCATAATTTATGATATTAGTTATCCAAGGGAGCAATCATTGGAAAGTAAAAATAAAATATTGAACCAAATTTTTAATCTGCTTTCCAGTCTGGCATTAAGCGTTGTTTTTTTTTGTTTGTTTTTTTTGTTTTTTTTCTTACTGACAAATCCATACCAAAGCTATTTAGAATAATAGTAGTAATAATGTTATTGTTGTTAACCATAGTCAGTTTTTCTTAATACTGTCTAAGCTTAAAACTACAGCTTGGGTTTAACAGACAAACCTGATAGATCAAAGTGAATTTAAACATTTTACAGCCACTAAAGGAACTGTTTATACGTGAAGGAAAAATCACATGAAATCAGTGTTAAGTGGGGACTACAAAGTATTAAGCTATAGTCATATATAATGATGGGTCTAGAGAATTGAATGCTCACAGGACATTGAAGGCATGAGAAGCAGAGGAAGCAACAAGTAACCTACTGAACAGGTTTGTGGGAATGGATGTCAGAACAATGACAAATATAGGCATTGCAAAGATCAAGTAACAAGTTAGAGTAACAAAAGATAGGAAGATGTACAGAGTAATGATCAGCCATGTCCTGAAAAGACTTTCCTCATAAGTCTTTACTTTTCTATTGCAGAAAAGAATTCTTAGAAAATGACTTAAGATTAAATGAACATTCATAAGGAAATTAAAGATGCATCCTAAATATTATTGAACATAGATTTGTATAAAAGGTAGGAAATCTCCAAAGTCCTCCAACCTCTCTTGTTACCGACTAATGATGTCTTTATTGACATAGCCTGATTCCCCACACACCTCCCACCCTGCCCTCCACACTTATTCCAGCCAATCATTTATTGCAAAAATTTGCTTCAAGCTTCAACTTTATAAATTAGACTCATTATGAAATGAGTTAATTTGATTGTCCTTTTTAAACCATGTGTTATTTGAGTCTGATGATATTTTAATTAATAAACAATTCTTAGACTTGTAATAGATTTCTGAAACTTTTATTGTTCTTTCTCTTCGCCATTCTCTTTTATTTGGTGTTGCATATGCAATGGAGTGATTTTTTCAATCTGCACATGGAAACCACTGAATACCTAAGGAGAAAAAAAAAAAAAGGCAAACATTATAGTTCACATTCATATCTTTACATCAAGTTTCAATCTCATGATGGACTTATCTTGGAAATAAGATCGCAAATATTTTTTCCCACCTTCTCTAGCCATGACTACACTTGAGTGTACATTGGCAGCAGGACTTTCCTTGTCTAATAGGTGTGACTAGCAGAACCGATCGTTTTTTTTTTCGTTTTTTTTGCAATGCAGTAAATAGCCTTTAATTCCAAACAGTTCCCTGTGGTGAATGAAGAAACTATAACATTAAGTAGCCTTAATTTTGTAGAGTTAATCATGACACAGACCCAGCCTACACAGATCCATAGAAGGGATGGTGAAGTTGGCTGAAACCTCATCTAACAAAGCTGGTTCAGTTATAAAGTAAACATTACCATTGATGTCAGCAACATCAAAGATAGAAAAAGGCAAATGGCTGATAGTTTAAAAAATGGAAAAGTTTTTCTCTTATTACATCAGCTGGATTGCAACTATTTAGTTCTCCTTCTGAGATTGGTTTCTCAGATAAGATTGACTGTTTGGCCATGAACCCAACAAACTGCCTAAGTTTGAAGTGCAAACGGTGCAAAGACAATTGAAGGTCAAGACTTGACAAGGGACATTATGAAGCCTTCAGCTCCAGATTTGGCACAATAGCTAATCAGTATGTCATCTGGATTCTGACTATGCTTCTTGAGTCACGGATCTGCGTGGCAGTTTTTGACAATCCACAATCCAGATTTGTGTCGACCTTATATATGGAAAAATAAAAATTCTCATCTCACCTTTGATTGGCATATCAAGATTAAATGACAACAAATCAAATAACCCTTAACTGTTAGCACTCTTTCCTTTTTACTGCATTCTTTTTTTAAGGCCTCTCAATTGCAGTAACTTTATTGTTAATTTCACTCAAAAGTGTTTCCTGTTGCCATAGCAGGATATGAGAACACAACTATCAAATTCAGGGATCAGAGTCACCTTCAGTGACAGGATAAACCTTTTGTACAGTAAATGAGGTCACATACAGAGTGATAATGGTTAAACTGACAGTGCTCTTAACTCTGACAACCAAATTTAGATTGACAACTCTTATCCATACTAATTTCTGACTTAACCAAAATTTGGTTATATTAAAATTTATTTAATTTAGAAATTATGATTTTTTTTTCACCCATCTTATAAGTATTATGGATTTTGCTATTCTATAATATGTATTTTGATACCAGATGTGTTACTTTCTTTTTTTTTTTAACCCTTGTAATCATCTGTCAATATTTGATGCTCCAAAATTTCTCACATAATAGTTGTGTCATTTAACTCAAATTTGGTCTCTGTCCATTCAGTGGCTAGAAAGCTTTTAAAAGGCTGATTTCTGCAGCTTCTGTTAAATATTTTCTCATTACTTTTACTTTATTAATAATACAGAAGCTTTGTTTTCAAGTAAAACTAGCCATGATAAGCATAATAAATATTAACAAAATATTTAAAATATAGAAAAATTATTTTTTAACACCTCAATTTAAGATTGTGATGCAATAAAACAAGACAAACCAAAAATCATAAAAATTTGATAAATAATGAAATGTAAAATGTCAATGAAATAAAACTGAATTGTTTCTGCTCAAAATTTGAGTCACTTTTGATGTAAAAACAACAAGAATGTTAACTGTTACTGTTAGTAGCAAATACACAGAACTTTCTCTTTTTACTTCCCTTGCTCTTTTTATTTCAATCTATCAACTGCTGTTGATAGATTTTGTGTTTTTGTTTTTTCTTGTACAGATTCCTGTATAAAAACACTTAACATTTTCATTAAGTCAATATTCTTTAAAGAATTTAGAATGTTAATGTAAAATATTCCAAAAGAAGAGAAATTCAGTTTGTTGCAAAATGAAATAATTTTACTTACTGTTGTTCCCAGTTTTGGCATGGTTATATTGTGGAAGAATTTTCTGAAAAAGTCAAAGATTTCAGTTTAACTTGGTTAAAATTTACTTTTCTTTAATCATTTTTTTTTTTTAATTAAACCAGTTTTAATAGTATTCTTTCTTTTTTTCAAAGGATAATAAATAATGGGGTGGGGAATCATAAAATACATTTACTTTAGTGTTTAACTTGCATTCACTCCAAGGTAATTAATTCTCTAAACTTGGTGGTTAATTTTCATTTTCTACAAAAAATGTTAGATTCCCTCTCTAGTTAGAAAGTTTATCAAGAATGAAATTTGGATTTAAAAGTTGATAGTTATAGTGAGATAGATTTTATTTCCCAAGGACACCCAATGTTGTAAGGAGAGAAAAAAATTGTCTATGAAAATCAGCATTCAACATCCTGGCTAAAACTAAAGGTTATAAACTTTGCTCATTAAAGAAAGAAATTTTATTCAATTATATTTCAAAATTTTCCAAATTTATAAGAAAACTTATAGAAAATATATTTGGTTTGGTTTTTTGACAGTCACATGCTTCTTTGCATGATTTTCAAATCTGTTTCAAAATTCATTTTGTTTGGTTTATATCCCTCCAGTAAATCATTTAATCCAGGGCCGATACTTTTAATTTCTTGCATCACTTACCCTTCCAAGATATTTTGAACTTCCTAGGCCTGGGATTTAACATGCAATAAACAGCAGCAACCTGCACCTTTTATAGGACAGTAAATTAGTGGAATTCCTAGTTTTCCTTTTTCCAAATAGAAGTTCCAATAAACTGTTCAGACACACTGATTTCTAATGCCTTTATGATTTTTAGATTTTATTCTACAGCAATTTCTATGATCCCTACCGCTCAACAAACATTTACCTATTCTTGATTTCATAGCCTCTCCAATATTCTTTAGGCCTTCTTGCAAAAAGAAATCTGTTCAGCAAACCAACTTCAAATGTTAGCTTAGAAAATAAGGTTTAAGGCTCAGAAATTCACCTTCCTGAGTGCCCACCCTCTGGGCTCTGGCTTTGTGGATAAAGGTACTGGCCTCAACCTTATCCCCTAAAAGTTAAGAGTTCAATCCCAAGATGCACTAAAATACTGCAGTTTTATTCTTAGCATAGGTACCTCTACAAGATCGCTAAAAAAAAGAGCATAGCATTGTGAAAAAGACACCAAACTTGACGAAAACAAAATTTTATCGTCTAAATGTTTGTTATTATTAAGAGGAAAGATCAAAGTTTATTTTAATTATTTTTAAAAATTTTTCCTTCTTTTTAGAACAATCTGAATTTTCATTTAAATATCCTTGTTTCTCTTTGTATCACTGGAACTAGTAAAATAACAATTTTTAGCACGTTTTTTTTTGTATGACACACATTAATTTGGAAAATCTTGCAAAAATAAAAATAATTGTCGGATGTTAATGAAACTTTCAGAAACTATTCACAGATGATCGAAATTATTATAAATATGTTTTCTTTTATTAAAGTCATGGCAGAAAGAATTTTTTTATATTTATTACCGTCCCCATAACTAATTTTATGAAAACTCTAGAAATTCGATCAAGTCCACTTTAGTAATTACAATAGTTAAAAACACAAGGCTTTGAGGAATGCAAATCATTTTCTTGTTTTTAATTGGACCCCCAAACCCCACCTGAAAATCAGCTCTGAATTGTAACATACAAAACTCAATAAAACAAATATATTATTTAATTTCAAATGCTCTTCTTTGCTTTTAGTTCTTTTTATGAATATGGACCATATTTTCTGAAAGCAAAAAATTTGTCAATGAAAAATGAATTTTTAGTACAATTATTTGTTATATTTTAATTATAATAGATTTTTACATTTAAGTTGTTAAAATATTACAAAATTAGTTAAAAGCCGCATCCACTTTCATTAAGTGACCTTATGAGATAGATCTTTTTTTTAGCACGTAAATTGTATCTTTTTGACTAATCAGAGGACCCACAGTAATTAAGAAATTTAATTTTGTGTTTATAATTGGGCTGTAATTATAAAGTATGGAAGACCAACCAGAATAAAATTAAATTGCGTTGAGTTAAGCATTGTTCTCCGCTGTTAAGGCCTTTACTTTTGTGAAACACGTGGAGAAGTTTATTTGATTTTTCAATTTCAACTGAGAAGGGTACCTAAAATATCAGTATCATCTTATGAAATTTATATGATCTTATTTTTATATTAATCTCAGTTATGACATTTTTCCATAAATGAAATATCAAAATTAATAATAAAATGAATGGAAATACAAATAACACAGTAAAATGTAATAAATGTACATAAAATTATAGTATTTTATGTACACTTCTGATAAAATTTCATAAGAAAGGTACCTATAAATTAATTAAGATACCTTTCTTTTGAAATTTAATCTCACTCTTAACAGTCTTATTTTAATTTCTTTATAATATATTTTCCATAAAGCATCATAAATGTAAAGGTGAGAGATAAGTACAAAAAATTAGAGCGCTGAAAGTTTTCCTTAAAAATAACAAGGTAAATAACTTGTTCACTTAAATGTAAATAATTTCACTTTTCTCCTTCCGTAGAACAAATTATCCTCACGGAATCTGTCAATATGTCATTCATCACCTGTCAAGTGACACAAAAGTTTATGACCTGCTTTGTTTTATTTTCAAATTACATCTTTTCAGCACAGAAGCTAAGTTAAGTTTGGTTCAAAATATTTTAAATAAACATCATAATTTCTGATTTTCTTAAAATAAGTTTTGAAAAAATGATAATTGATATTTAAAAGAATTTCAAACTGAGATTTTCATTTTTTTTATAAAATGAAAAAAAATGGTTGCCATCTGTCAATTTTGTTGACTCAAAAAAAAAACAAGATTTTTAACGAAAATTGCTAGGAATGATTAAAAAATGTGAAAAAATACCCCCAAGATACTTTGATCTTTCCTCTTAATAATAACATAAACATTTAGATGATAAAATTTTGTTTTCATCAAGTTTGGCATCTTTTTCATTGTGCTATGCTCTTTTTTTAGCAATCTTGTGGAGGTACCTATCTTAACAGAACTGTAAAGAATTATAGGTTCAGCCAATGAAATCCCTTGGAAGATATCGAGAGAGAGAGAGAGAATTAAATGGTTTAAAAATAAAATAAAATGAAAAATAATTAATCTATGAGAAATTTTAGCCATTTTCTCCAAAAACTTATTGTCATAAAGTAGATTTTGAAATGTGAAACATCAGATATTTCAATCTCCAGCCTTCATCAGGTGTACATTACATTTGATAAATCTTTATTTCTGTGAAAAAAAAACAAAAGCTGATATTAAAAAATACACTCACACCACATGCACATTATTTTTGTAACTTTTTTTTTTCTCTCTAAATAATTTGGTTAGAGAAAATTTGTCCGTGACAAAGGGATTTATTTAGCTTTCATTTCCTCTTGTTAGCCTATGTTAAACCAGTTTTTTTCCTTTGACTAGTCAGTCTTGTTTTGGGAATAGTAAATCCTGACATCTTTATATGTGTTTAAATGCCAACCACAAGTGCCAGGGAAAAATAAACAACTCGCTCACCTTCAAAGTAGTATTAAATATTTATTTCAATGGATTTGGACCATGATTATGCGAAAAGTTGTCTATAATTCACAAATATGCTGGGTGTTGAAACACCATTCTCATACAACCACCAAAGTTAAGCTATATCGAGCCTGGTCAGTACCTAGATGGGTGACCATTTAGGAATACCAAGTGCTGTAAGCTTGGATATACGGGTGGTGTAATGGATAATGGCTCAGAATTGAAAATCTGAGAGCCTAGTTCTAATTCCAGTCAGGTTCATTATATTTACTCACGGACAAATACCACTGGGAAAGGTATGAATCCATCTCTTCTCCCCCAGATATGGGTTAATTAGTAGAACTTGTATCAATAAATCATTATTATTTCCAAAATATCCTTAGAATCTAAAAATATTTTCTGGTTTTAAATAATCTGCAAAAGTTTGATAAGCTGTAAAATACAAATAAATGAATCCATCAATTCACAGATGTTGAGAGTATATTTTTTAATCTAAGTAAAATATTTGTAGGAAAATTTGTATTTCATTTCAGTCCTTTTCTAACCTTCATGCAAAAATAAGGAATTATGAATAAGAAGAAAGAATTGTAATATTCTTACTCATTGCGATATATTTTCTGTAATCTTGAAAGATCAATTGATAAATCCTGACGGAGTTTCGCAGCCTGTCAAATAAATAAAAAAATTAAGTCTGGCACAAGGTTATAAGGATCAAACAATATAAGGGAATAATCTATTAAGTTGGTTTGCAACTATTGCTTGATGGCACATAATTTTTGTGATAATAAAAAAAAATTACCAGGAATTACAGGTATTAAACTTTAAATTACAGGTATTTAATTAAACAAGGCTACAAATGTAGCATCATTCTCTAATATAGTCCAGAACAAACAAAAAAGAAAGAGCAAGTTAAAAACTAATGACTATAGATGCCTTATGAAGCTTTAGTCTGGCAAAAGGCCATTAATGTGAGGCATCATTTTTTTTTTTTTATCATTTCACCCCAAGGCAATAGAGCCATGAAGATGCAAGGGGTTACTGAACCTGTGAGAGAATATGAGAAAAAAATACCATTTAGGAGAGAAGACAATAAAAGAACAAGAATTAAGAAGACAGAAGATAACGATTGACATTGCATTTAAATTTTTCAAGATCAAAGTTGACTGGAAAGTAAGAAGCCAGAAGAGAGTTCCACAAGCAAGAAGTGTGATAGAAGAAACTGTTAGCATAGAACTTACAGTTACATCTAGCCAGTTCAACTGTAAAACTAGTACTACACTTTAACTCATAGTCTAGGTACCATAAAGGAAAGTTCATCAGAGCAATTACCATGAAAATATTTATGAAGACACAACAGCTACATTACAGTGGTGGAAAAAAGACTGAAACTGAGATGCCAGGTCAGGACCAATAACATTGCTGATTCTTCTTTGGAATTTTTCAAGAATCTCTAAATATATAGCAGGAGCATCAGACCAAATGTGACAGTAGTATTCAAAGCACAATGAGTCACTCCTCTAAAGGTTAGCATCAGCCATGTCTATGGAAGGTAAAAAGGTTTTTTCTAAGATGTTTAAAAAAGAGCAGAATCATTTTAGAGGTGTTAAAATTAACAAGCCACTCCTTGCCCCATTTAACAATAGATTTTACATCATTTTTAAGATCAGCTGCCATTTTGACTTTATCAAACCAATCAGATTTAATATTAAGACAGGAGTAATGTCATCAGCATAGATACCGAGTTGAGAACTGATGACAAAAAATAACATAACCTTTCAACTTGTGGAGAAGACCAGTGTGCCAAAACCTGTTAAATGCCTTTGAGATATACAAAGCAACCACCTGAGCTTCACCATTCTTATCGGAAGCTTGATAGACTATTTCAGCAATAATCATTAAAACATCAGCAGTTGACATAGAGAAGTGAAAGCCATATTGCTTATCCGAAAGACCATGTGATGTGAGATGCTTAACCAATTCAGAGGTAATAAGAGTTTCTAGTACTTTGCCAAAGTAATTTATAATTTACTTTACTAGTAAAGATCATTACACGAATTATGGTCTGCTCAGCTGGTTTGTTGGCCATACACTATAGCAAGAGACTCAACCTAAAGTTGCAATTATTCAATTTCTGCTTGTGTAACCAAACTTTGACTTTCTAATTTGCAATGTTATTGTCATCTTCATAACTAAAACATTGCCTAATTTCTTCAAACATCTGAGAGAACCCTTTTTACCTTCTATCAACATGGCTGATGCTAATCACCAAGAAAGTGACTCATTGCACCTTTGTGGATTAACATTTTCTACTGACATGAAGTGGAAAGAGTATACTGAATCCATTACTAGGCCCACTACTAGGAGAAGTTGGTTCACTGTGTTGTGCTAGAAAATATTTCTCACCAGAATCTATTTTACATATTTATAATTTTCCCATTTGTCCTTGCTTTGAATATTGCTGTCACATCTGGTCTAGTGCACCTGTTATGCATTTAGAGATTTTTGATAAAATACAAAGAAGAATCTGCAATGTTATCCTGACCTGGCATCTCAGTTTCAGTCACTTTCCCACTGCCATAATTTAGCTTCCCTGATGCCTTTTCTATAAATAATTGTTGATGAAATGATGAACTTTCCTCTATAGTACCTAGACATTATGAATTTAACCGCAGTACTAGATTGGCAACAAGATCTCATCCTTTTACAGCTGAAATGGCTGAGATGCAACTGTAAGTTCTATGTTAACAGTTTCTTCTCACACTTCTCATTTGTGGAACACACTTCTGGCCTCATCCTTTCCAGTCAACTTTGATCTTGAAAAATTTAAATGCAATGTCAATTATTATCTTCTGTTGTCTTAATTTCTGTTCATTTATTGTTCTCTCTCCTTAATAGTATATTTTTCTCATATTCTCTAACACTCAGTAACCCCTTGCATCTTCATGGCTTTATTGCCTTGCTTGGGGGATATCTTTAAAACAAAAACAGGAAATAATTTTTCTTTTTTTGAATTAAAGGTGAACGATAAAATCAACTTACTTTCAATAAATTATAACTGGAAGTTCTCGACACAAATTCGGCCCATGAATTTTGGTTCATTTCTTTCTGTCGATTATTCTCTCGTATCTGAAAGATAAAGAACGTCTTTGACTTTGGAATTGCAACTCTCATATGACAACTTGACCATTAGCCTTTTTTGAAGGCCTCATTTTTTATTGGCCATAAAAACAACCCACCTCTAATTGCCAAATGCAAGGAAATTTCCTCAAAAATCAATCAGGATTTTTTAAAATCTATTGATTCATCTGAAACAGTCTCAACTGAAGATCTGTGATGTTATTAATGAGTTAGAAAGCAGTACACCAACAAAGAGACACTCAAGTACAAATATATGAAGCCCAATATAGCCATCATGACAACCAGTTTGATAAGTGTGTACCAAACACATGCATCACAGCCAAATATGTGTAATATATTGAGAGGTTTTGTTAAAAGCAGTTCATAAACTTTGCCCAGTCAGAAATACATCCAGGTCAGGTAACCCAGTCCACTCGGTATTGAGGGTGTTCTTAAATATCCAGAGGCAACTCCCAAGTTGCCTTGGTTACCACATCCAGCAAACATAAAAGCAACTGTCTCAACACCCGGCCATGATGTGCTCTCACTACTCCTGGTCTTGAACAGAGATATACAGTATCTCAGCTCCAAAGAGGACACACCCAACTGGTTAGGGTCAGGCAACTGACAAGCAAATCTGCGGTACTGAACGGGCTGTCTACTGTAGCCAATCTTAATTTGCCAAGACAAAACATATACAAGTTAAGACCTTCAATCAATTAAGATCAGAAGCCAAAAGAGCCATGTGTCATAACTGATCAGTGCAAGATGCCATCAGACAAAAAACAAATCTGTTAGAAGATCCCACATTGAAATAGTACTGACATGTCATGAGAACCAATGATCTTTCCCACATCATGTTACAAGGTACCACCATGGGCAAAAGAAGAAGAAGCAAGCAGAAAAAGATGGGGTAGATAATGTCATTGATTAGAAAGCTCAGTGACATCCTTTACTTGTTCCCAACACTGTCACTTCATCACCAATCGTGTGATGGGTAAATTGTCAACTAAATTATGCAAAAATGAAAATAACACTAATATCTCATTTTAACAGATATATTAGGTTGGTGCAAAAATAATGACGTAATAATGTCGTTTTTTGACGTTACGTAAAAAAACGACATTATTACGTCATTATTTTTTGCACCAACCTAATATTTATCAAAATTACACTAAAATATCTTGAGATACTAAAGAGTAAATTTATTCAATAAAATCGCCATTAGCATCAAACACGGCCTCCAGACGCCTTCGGAATCTCCTAAAACTCTTTCGGATAATCTCCTTGTTTAAGTTGGTGAAGGCTGCTATAATCCTTGCCTTCAGTTCATTTTGGTGTTACAAGGAGTTTTGTTGGTCTCTCATTTAACTGTGCTCCACACAAAATAATCAAGGGGGTTGCAGTCTGGGGAGTTTATGTGGCCAGATGTAAAGGGTAATGTGGTCGCAGAAATTGTCTGACAGACATGACTGGGTTCTCCAGCTTGTGAGGCATGCTAGAGAGTTCTGTTGCCAGACATAGGGTCTTCCAGCAGCCACCCTCTTGACCCAGAGCAACAGTACTTCCTCGATGTGGGCCTCTATGTTGAGTCTAAGGCCCTGTGGGAAAATGAATGGTTAACAAAATATTTAGTTTTCGTTACTTTTGGTACATCATTTGGGGACATCACAAACCAGTGGTTGTTGTTCTGTGTTCTCACCATCTTAACCTGGCAGAAATATTTCTCATCTGAGAAAAACAAAAGCATGTTTGGTTGGAGGAGATGCTTGAGTTTGTTCAAAAGCTTTGTAGTGCAGTCTTTCCTCTTGGTATGGTATGGGATAAAAATTGTCCCATTCTCATCTTGTATGAGAAATACTGAATGTCTTCATGCACTACATACCTGATAAGAAACTAAGACTCATGTATCCCTGGCTATGGACCTGATTGACTTGAAGGAATCGTTGTCAATAATGTCTTGGATCTCACCAAAAAATTCAGGAGCTCTTATCAGAACAATCGGAGTAAGTTTTCTAAGCTTCCGTACCTTCATAATCACCATTAGACTCATCCAACTCTTTCCAAATCCTCTGCACTGTCCTCAAATTGACACCCCAAACACTCTGAAATGTTTGTATTGGAGCTTCTGGTGTGAATGCCAAGCAGTACAGCATGCCGTTTCCAAATTTCTAGCAGAGTGAATTGCATCATGGTGCTCTTTTTCTCACAGACAGTACCCAACTGACCCTACTATACTCTGCAGTCAATAAAATGCAAAAACAAACACTGTGTATGCGCAAAATTAAAAATATATAAAATGGCGACAATTTACCTATCGTACCCTGTATGTAAGATGCAGTGAAATGTTAGACTACATACACAAATGGTTTGTTTAAAGCGGGGAAGGTTTGTGTAGAAATGGACACACTTTTGTGGGAGTACAATGTGACTTTAATTTTCAGGTTTTAATATATTACAAGATGGCCAGAATATACAAAAATATTCCTCCTTCTGCCAAATTGTGTACACACACATATATATATATAGGTTGTATCAAAAATACCTTTACAAACTTTTGTGGCAAGTTTCTCAAACCAAAACAAGGACAAAAGACATATGTTCACAAATCCTTTGTTCTTCAGTTATTAAGTTGAAAATTCACGGTATATGCTTTTAAATATACAATTCCAGATACAATCCAGAAATACTTTTACAAACTTTGGGGTCAGGTTCCTGACACCAAAACTATATAAAATGTCCATATAAACATGTTTCAAATGGCCATTGTTGTACGTCAATACAGCAACTCATAACAATTGTTCTCTGCTTGCTTCTACACATGGGTGCACTCATCGGATTTTGTAAATGTTGGTCTGAAGAGATGGGCACCTGATCCCATGAAATAAATTATCACTTAAATGGATTTCTAAGGGCTCATTATTTTCCATATATATATATGTGTGTATATATGTGTGTGTGTGTGTATATATATATATATATATATATATATATATATATATATTATGAAATGGATTAAGTCTGAGAAATACTTAATGTATTTTGTGTTTATACGTTATTTTAATAAAAACAATTCATTTAAGTAAGTGCTCTGTTTTTTTTAATTAAACAGTATATATATATATATATATATATATATATACATATATATATATATATATATATATATATATATATATATATATATATATATATATATATATATATATACATACATATATATATATGTAAGCAAATATATGGATATAGATCCGACAGTATGAAGAAAAAAATACAGAAAAACAAACAAAAATCTTAATATGCAATTATGCTGTATTAATGTTAATATAAAGTCGACGTCGGACGTTTCGGTCTATTTAAGACCATCTTCATGGACATTTTCATTTAAACATAATTAACATTAGAACATATAAAATTTAAACACAAAAGACGATGGACATAAGAGCACAACTAATCCAAACAGATAACTGAAATTTTTATATAAGATCAGCGTTCCGTTTAAATAGGATCACGTCGTCAAATCACGTATGATGTTGTTAAAATGTATTCGAAGATGATTTCCAAATATTAAAATATTAAAAAAAGTCGATTGAACTATTTTATATAAACAGTTCAAGAAATCCCTTCCGTTGATATAGGAATACGTAGTGATCAATAGGTTCTTATATCTTCATACAAGCTTGAAGTCCTTCAATATATATGTATATATATGTATATATATATGTGTATATATATACATATATATATATATATATATATATATATACATATATATATATATATATATATATATATATATATATATACATATATATATATATATATATATATATATATATATATATATATATATATATATATATATATATATATATATATATATATATATATATATATATATATATATATATATATATATATATATATATATATATATATACATATATATATGTATATGTATGTATGTGTACATATACATTAATATATATATATATTAAAGTGTACAAAAACTGATTGGCTTGGCTATGCATCTAAACACATCAGGTGCCATAAATTTTGAAATTAACAAATTATGAAATTAATTTTAGTGTTCTGAGATCTTCAGTACACCTTTGTGCATAATTGGCTTACAGCCATATCACATTGAAACAACAGTTCTTGTGCGATCACTAAAGTTAAGCAATGTGAATCATGGTCAGTAACTACAAGGGTAACAGCTTGCAAATACCAGGTGCTGTAAGCTTGAATGTGTATATGGTATAATGTATAATGGCTCAGATTTGTTAATCAGAGAGACAATTTGGGCTCGTTATATTCATTAACATACAAATACCCTTGGAAAAGGTATGAATCCACTATCTTCTTCCTCCAACTATGGGTTAATTAGTAAAATTTGTATCACTAAATCAATTATTATCTCAAATAAAATTCTTTCTATGTAGAAATGTTTTCTGGATTTGCAAAAGTTTGGTAAGCTGAAGGAAATAAATCAATCAGTCAATCAGTGCATAATTGTAACAAACAAATACAGTAATATCTCCCCCCTTCTCCCGACATATATATATATATATATATATATATATATATAAACATTACTTCAATTGGATGAAGTCATATTTCAAGGACAAAATGCATTATACAGAATTTTTCTCCTTTGTCATTCAATTATCTACCATTAATGCTTCTATATAGAAATGTATATATCATATTCCCCTATATATATATATATATATATATTATAGAACAATAATTAGGAGATTTTTATAATTTCATAATAATTCATTATGTCTAGAACTGGAATCCTCAATGTGCAGACAAGCAGAAAAGCACTGGACAGACATTTTGTCCTTATTTGAGACTCATCAGCAGTGCACATCCTCTGCTGACTTTGCGTCAAAGCCAGACCACTCCGATACGATGCAAGCATCGTTCAGAACATTAGAAGCAGGATCCAGCATAGGTAATATTATAGCTTCTCAGTAGAGGAATCACACTGCTGATGAGTCCCAAAAAAGGATGAAATGGCAATTCAGTGCTTTTCTGTTTGTGTGCACATTGAGGATTCTGCTTCTAGAGATGATGAATCATTATGATATATATATATATATATATATATATATATATTAATAATAATAATAATAATAATAAATGTAAATATACATTTTTTTCCTCACTGGTAACACAACTCTGAGTTTTAAATACAATGCAGTTGTCAGGTGATGATTAAAAGTTTACAATCAATAGATATATATGTATATTTATTATTAATATAAAGGATAGCTCTGTTGTTATACAGTGAACACTATTTTATTAGCCCCAGCACTCAATGTGTGATATTTTATATTCATATTTTACATATATATATATATTCATTTGTATGGATATGAGTTTGTAACCCTGGGTTTCACACTTTTGCGATCATCAAACTTCACATATATAATGGCATCCCAAATTTCCAGGAACCGGTTCTATAAATGCAGATAATCTTTAGGAACCTATTTTGCTTATTTTTTTTTTCAGTCTGAGAACAGAAATGAATCACTTTATATAGTATCAAAAAGAATGAAACCATTTTGATAATTTACTAGAAAAACATTTATTTATTAAGATATTTCCAGATTGAAATTCTGTTCTCATCATATTTCAGTTCTGAAGTCTGATGCTTTTTGAATCATCAGTTGTGTCATGTTTTCTTAGCCACATTCAAACTGAATTGTTGCAGTCCAAAAGATCCAACAGAAGACCCATAAAATTTATGGCTAGAAAATTTGCCACATTTTTAACTTCAATATGATTTCTTTTGTCAGAATAAATTATGTTTATCCCAGAAAAACTCTTTCAGCCTCCACAGAACTTGCAGCAATGGTATTAATTCTATTTTTAGCTCTTTGAATAGTTTTGGGTGCAACATGTTTATGGCAATTTCTCAACATAATTAGAGAAATCATTATTGTCATGATAGGAGACGTGTGTCTATTAGAGTTTCATTAAGTGCATGTGAGTGTAGCGTAATCAACATTTTACCTAGACCATCAGTTGTTAATATATAAGATTATTTTCACATACCCTAACAACTGGTTTCTTAAGCTTTTAATATATATATATATATATATATATATATATATATATATATATATATATATATGAGATTTTGGTTTTCAATTAAAACAAATAATAAAATATGTATTTTTCCTCATTTTCTTCTTTAAATAATTTTATATTTTAAACTCAATAAACATTAAATTTAAAATTGGTAATTTATAATTTTCAATTTTATAGTAAAATTTAATATTAATCAGTTAGAATGATTTCTATTTTAGTCTGACCCTAACATTAAGACATTAATTATTATGAAATGGACAAAGTCTGAAAATTATTTTAAGATATTTTTATGTTTATACATTCTTTTTATAAAACAGAGCATTTACTTAAATATTTGTATCTATAAAAAGAATGTATATACATTAAAACGTCTTAAAATAATTGTCGGACTTTGTCCATTTCATAATGTGTGATGTCATTTGTTTAGATTTGGATAAGCTTTGAGCAGATAGGAATGTACATGAGAGAATCATGGAAGATTGAAGTTTAAAAAGCAGTAAAATTGACCTTGCCAATCAAATAATTCTCTGTAGCTCGATCGATTAAGGCATGTCAGGCTAAATGACAGTTCCATATAGGATACAGGTTCAATACCTGTCGGAGAACGAATATTTTCTATGAAAATTTCTCGGACATTCAGGCCAGTAAATGTTATTAATACTGTTAATTATAAAACAGAGCATTTACTTAAATATTTGTATCTATAAAAATATTGTATAAACAAAAAATGTCTTAAAACATTAATTATTATAACCAAGGTTCGTTGTCAAGTTTTTTGAATTCTCATATACTTGTATTTTGATTTGTCATTCCAGCTTCCAGTGTTTCCCCTGTTGAGGGGTGTTTGGTTGTTTTGAATCTTTTAAATCTCTTTATTCTACATTCAACAACATCACTTGATAAGACACCAGAAGTGTTGAAACAAAATGGCTATTTTTGTAGTGAATTTATAACATGTTTGTGTTATAATTTTCAAATAAATTATATATATATATATATATATATATATATATATATATATATATAAGACAATTGTTATTTTTATTTTATTGACCCTTGTCAAGGTTAACTATGGGAGTAACAGCTTTTTGCTGCTAGTACTAGGCCAGGTAGTTACGAGTGAGTGATTTTTCCCAAGTCCTTACTTCTCCATTACTCTTTGTAGCATACCTGTAATTAAACATTTTGTCAAGGTGAGAAGACAGGGATTATTGTATGCTTTTTTTCCTAAAGTAAACATAATATTAAACATGTATGTGGGGGTGGGGAGAAAGAGTGAATCACTTTCATTCTCTTTATTCTTTGTCTCTTCCTCTTTATCAATCTTTAGTCCCCCCCCCAACCTTTTTTTTTCACCCACCCCTAACCCTTCTCTATCAACCATCATGCCATTCCAGTGATGAGATATTTCATCAAAATATGTAACAGTGAGAGAAAACACAGGGAGGAGTGGATTTATGCCTTTCCCAGAGGTATTGGTGGAGAGTAATTAGCGGTTTAATCCCAGTTATGCAAACACTTTCTCTTACCTCAGCGTATAATTCCTGCTCATCTAAAGCATCCATATTTTTTTGTGATTCAATCAGTTTCAATTGAAACTGCATATTCAGCTGACAGCATTCTTTCACTCTTTGCAGGAGAGCATCACACACAGCTTTATCGTCTTTGAGAGGTTCCACATTTTCTAATTCTAATTCTTTCACAATTTCTATCCACACTTCACCTGACTGAAAAAATATTAGAAACAATTCAATAACTGACACAAATTATCATTATTATCAGGATCAGCTAAAAATTAATACCTATTCGAATTTAATTTTGGTAATTTTGGATATATTAGAATTTCACAGTGTTTTTTTAGCCAAAAATACTTACCTTTTCTCTTTCTACCCGTAAACCTCTTTCAAAAGATACACATGTAAAAAGCAAATGTCTGCTTTTGGAAGAAGAAATAATTGCAAATATTGACAGGAGTTTAGGGGATATTTTTGAAAAGGCTTCACTTGATATAAGTACATTAAGATGTGTTAGTAAAGTTAATGGTAATCCTAGAGAAAAAGGCAAAAAAAACGACCTTAGTAACAGGTCCTGCAGTGGCAGGCCAGCTGCTGCTGTAATTGAGGACAAAGCCAAATAGGCTTAAGACCTCGTTACAACTGAAAAGTTCTTACCCAAGCTACTTCCCAAATTCTGACCAATAAGGAAGGACATCTTGGTTGGACCAGGAACCTTTCATCATC